CACAATTGAAGCACACTAGTAACTATAGCTACATACAAAATTGTGAAGATCTCTTTTCTCATTATTTTGTGAAGATATGGCAAGAACAACAGCCATGTGATGATGCATCAAATAGAACATAACTAGATCTGCAGCATTGACTGTATTCATAACTATAATCAAAGGCCTCCAAACAGTTATTATAAATTTATCTGCCATGTTGACTAGGCATAAAATTTGGAGGCAAGTCTCTCAATCAGCTGCTCATTCTGTTATCAATAAGTAAACAAGGGCAATTAAAGAACGGGATAAGGTTTGATCAAGTATCAGTTTGTTTTGGAAACATTTTATGTTTTCCGAACAGATGTCAACAAAAAAAAAATGTCACCCTTTCAGGAATTACTGAATATCAACTAAAGGCATCCATCCTATTAATTGTTATCGATCAACGATTGAGTTCTGGTTATATTGTTTAAAACCTTTTGGAATAAATGTTTTTCCTTGAGACATCGTCCATTCATTGATTAGTTGAATTTTAAAATTAAGAGAAATGAAAAGAAAAATTGTAAAAGTGGCATGCTAAAGTGTCTTAACAAAATCAAAGAAAAAATAAGAATGTGAATTGCTAGGTTCACCAGTCACAACACCAATTAATCCTATTAATGTAAGACCCTCTACAACTATAACCCCTACTGCCATTGCATATAGTATCCTCCACTAGTCGCTACATCAGCCGTCGATGCACTGACAGGCTTTGAGGCAGCGAGGAGTCTAATCTACCTCTCTGCTATGAGGAACAAAATATTAATCCAGGAATGGAGACACAAACATACATTAATTATACTAAACATAAGAAAGAACTACCTCTGAAATTCCAATTAGCTGAGTAAACTTCACCTTCTTGTGAAACCAAATATCTTCTGTTAAAAAATCTTTTGTTTATTGTTTTGATGTTTCTTTCGGCATGTTGTACCTTTCACTTTTAATGTCAATATAGTGTATGCAAGATATTTGCAAGATATTATTAAAAAATGAAGAACCGAATAATCATTTCTTTCGCATTCTTCAGCACAAGAATGTGATATCTAATGCAATAAGAGATACTAAGAATAATATTATTAAGTTTGTGAATGTCATTTCAAACAATCAGAGCACACAAGGCTCTGCCTCTCTCATAAGCAGCATGAATGTGAACCTCCTCCTAATTGGTAACCTACTTTATCTATTTCTTTTTCGAAAAATCTACTTCAACTGGAGGTAAATGGAAAATGATTCTGAAAGTTGACTGCAAAAGGAATATAGACCACTAGCAAGTTCATTTGAGCAAAAAGTTTAGTTATTCATACAACAGTCTGCAATGTATTGAAGGCCTGTAAGAAAGATAACCTTTTAAATATTGGGTGGAACATATTGAGTAAATTACATTATTTACTAGCATGTATAACTGGATTTACTTTCAAGTTTCAACTTTTCAACTTTGGTTTGGATGTCCAGCACCCAAGAAGTGAAATTAGTCCATGGAAGTTCACGCAGATGATGAAAGGCACTGCAACTGTTAACTGACAGTCCGACACCATTAGTTGGCCGGTTATTTCAGCCAAAGATCAGCCTGTAGTGTATGCAACCCCATCAATAGAATGCTCAATTGAGTCTTTAACTTCAGTGGCTTAGGGGAAAATATTGATTACATATGCACTTAATTTCACCAGTTCACCTTTGGTTTAGATTTCAGGCTCTCAAGAAGTGGAATTAGCAGAAGTTTACACCAAAATAATCATTCCACAACTACTAAAATAGGTCTAGAACTATATTTCAGCAAAAGGAACAACAATGAAAGTTTAGCCCTTAGTGAGCTATCAATGGCGGATACAGGGAGGGGCTCTGTACATAAGATGAAGATGATGATGACACATAACTCTGTTTTTCATGAGCACACCAATCATGTTGAGATTTAGGGTTCGTTTGGAATTTGACTTTTTTAGTGGTTTTTTGACTTTTTACGGAAAATCAATGCAAAAAAAGTAGAGAGAATGGGTTGATTTTTTGTATTTACTTTTGGTTTTTTGCTAAAAACTCATGTTCCCAAACATAGCCTTATTGCCACCATTATGTGCGTCAATCATCTTCAACTTCGGACTTCGTCTTGCCTCTTGTCTCCTCCACTATGTAGTTGGCTGATTGTTTCACAAATTCCCACACTGTTTTGTGTCTTTGTTTTATCATTGACAAACTCTTGATGCTTCCTCAAGTCACATCATGACTTTGAGGGGGGGCGTTACGATTGTCTTTTATTTATTTAGCTTGAAGGTAGTTTAGTCTTTGGGGTGTTATCAGGGTTTTATTTATTTATCAATCTCCTTGTAATATTTGATTATTATGGAATAATATGATGTTTAGTTTTCTTTCCAAAAATTTGGTCATCGCTTAGCCCTACCCTCCACAAATTGTAAGCCTTTTCCTTCGTCTCCAAGCAAGCAAGCCTCCTTCTAGCTTGTGGGTTCTGGTTCACCATCTTAGGATTTCTATTACTACCACTCTCCCTTTCCCTCTCAGGTTCCTCTTAAGGCCACTTCAGCTCTCACCCAGCTTCCTTTGGTGGTCAGTACCAACCCAAAGTCTACCGTACTTGTCAGAAAACAACCAGCCTACTCAACTCCAGCATCCACACTGAACAATTAAGATGACTGGAAAATGTGTTACTCTCAACGTAGAGAGCTCTAATCAGCTGAAGCTAGCAGATGCTAATTTTTATTTCGAAATCAGCTTGAGGATGGTCGGACCGTGGCAATGCATTTTTATATTGGTTAAATGGTGGATCATCAATCTTACATGACAATAATATTCTCTGTTGTAAGCAATGTGAGGTTAGTTGGCCTTTCTAACATAAATTCTTCAGCTAATTAAGGCATATTGATGACTAAAGGAAATTGTTTGCTAGTGAAAATCCAGTCATCCTCTGATCAGCTGCTGATATGTAGCTTGGGTATTATTTATATTAGCATCAACAGTTAGAAGCGAACAAGGGTACATTTCATTTGCATGACAATTTGGCAATTTGAAATGTACTTGTATAATCATATTACTGTACAAGGGATGTTTATCTCTGACTTGTGAATAGGGATTTTCTGGACCAAACAATTCTCTCAAAGCTACATGAAACAGATTTTCAGAAGTCCGCGGAAAAATTATTGCTAATTGCCCAAAGTGAGAAGCAAAAATATTTTGATAAAGACCCAATGAGAGTTTTCCTATTTTGACTTGCTCCTCCAGTTGACATCCTCTTACTTTTGTTTCACATCGTCTTTCCTACAAACCTTTATTGTCCAACAAGATGAGGGATTTTAACTTTGCTAATTAAAAATATATTTTTTATGGCAGATATCTGGTTCTCGAACAATATAGAGCTGCCAAGGTGGCACTGAAACGACATATGCATAAATCATCTTTTTAGAGGGAACAACGTTTGATGAACCAAGATGTTGATTATGGATGTTCTATTGAAATTCAGCTATGAGCTTGCTTATTGGTGTGTTTATCTACTTGATGCTTGGTTTATTTATCTACTCACCAGGGTGTTTTTGACAAAAGCCTTGTAAGTGCAGCTAATTAGTGGCATAATAAAAAGACAATTTGCCACACTGTATGAATCAACAACTCTTTATGATATTAAATCTATGTATATACTTAATTTGGATGAGAAGGAATAGTTACAGTTTAAAATGGTCAAGAGAACAACAGGTTAATATCATTCTTGAAAGGTGAATGAATATTTTAAAATGAATAAACCTACGGATCACCATTGAGTTTCCGCTGTCATTGTATCCTGCAAAGAAGTTACAAAAGGTAAATGATACTTTTGATTTGACTAATATAATTATTTAGCCGAACAAATGCAAACGTTTCATGTGAAAATTTTAATATTTTTAGATTTTTCCAAATTTAGATAAAAAAGAACTTTCATTTAAAGAATAACTTTGTTATTTCATTTTTGGAGAGGTGTGTGTGAATGTTTAATTGCCAAAAAAAAGGGGGGGCATGCACTGCCTTCTGAATAGGATTTGCAAAAATAGAATTTTAGGGATTAACCGGACAAAATTTACTCCCGATTTATTTACTTACTAGCCAAAGGAGAATTAGTTCACTCAAAATGGTTTAAGGACCTAAACAAATAGCTTTTGTTTCTTGTTCTTTTCATTGTTGGTCTGTAACTTCATGATTTATTGTTTTCTACGATTTCATTTGTTGTTACTTTTTTTTTTTGCTCAATTCTTTTTGTTCATACTTTATGCTAATTAGCTGTCCTGTTTCGTTACATTCGGTTTTGTCTCTAATGTGACTGAAGTTGAAGTTTTGCTGAGGATACAGGTGCTTGTATATTTTGGAAACAGAAAAAGGGAAGCATTGACTTGATGCAACGATGCAACGATCCCACATCCTCATCCAAATATGACATTAAAATTTTGTATTGAGGGTTTATTTTTGCTATTATTTATGCCTCCGCAATGATGTCTTCAAGGTCAATTCAATCCACTAATTTTTCAATTGCAGATAACCGTTATCATGGTATTTTCGTGTTAGGCTTTTGTTTTAGGGCCTATTTGGCGCTGCTTCTTATAAGATGAAAACTTATAATCACAAAGTAAAAGCTAAAAGCACCCCTTCTCATGCTTCCCAATTATCAGCTCTTTCAGCTATTTTTGCGAAGAAGCGGCCAAACCAACACACCGGCACAAATTTTCAAAATAAAAGAAGTTGTAAGCTACTCCATAAGCTGCACCAAACAGGACTTTAATATGGTTTGACTACTTGTGATTTGTGAATAATAATCAGCTTTGTCTTGTAGACCAGATGAAGTGGAACTCTTTGCCAAGTTTGCTTAGAATGCATACAAACAGTTTAGAGACAAGGTAGCATATTCAAGATCAATTACTGTACGGTAGTCAATTAATGTGTACTAATGGAGTGCAGTACTCTTTCAATCGCTTCATCACTGTCCAGTCATTATGTTGCAGGTAAATAAGATGGTGAAAGTGGCACAGGGAAGAGTGTGGACTGGTAAAGAAGCAGCTTCACGAGGTTTGGTTGATGCTATTGGTGGGTTTTCCATTGTTGTCGCCATGGCAAAACAGAAGGCTGACATGCCCCTGGGCAGAGAGGTTGGTTAATAAACTCCTTTTAGTTTACCCTTCTACAGGTTTTAATAAAAATGATGTTTTTGCAAAATATTGCATTCGTTTTATAATGTTTCACTTACCCTAAAGAGAATATCGCAATATTCCGGAATGTTATGATCTCTATTTCGGGAAATTCTTATGGACCCTGTGTACACATGATATACTTTACATGTATAACGTTGAAGTTGCTAGTTTGTCGAATCAATTTCTTTTACGTCTATTGAAGCTTGATTTTAATAGGTATCCTAAATGTTAAGGTTACTCTTGTTGAGTTATCAAGACCGTCGCCAACCTTGCCGGAAATCTTAGTTTGCATTGGTAACAATATGGTTGGGGTGGATAGGACATTGCATGAATTACTTCAAGACTTGGCATCTTCTGATGAAATTCAAGCCCGGATGGATGGAATCATGTTTCAGAAACTGGATGGTGTTTCGAATTCCAGTCCTCTCTTCACTTTGATTAAAGACTACTTGAATTCCCTCTGACTTCTTATATCTTTTTTTTTGTAGAAGAGATGAGCCACTTGTGTGCTTCTCCTTTTTCGTTATCACTTTTTGTGAGAGAGCTGCATGTTATTTGTTTATTGTTAATATGTAGTAGATTATTTACAAATATCAAACTATGCTGAACTTGGCAATAATTTCTGGAATAGGAGAACTGTAATTTTTTCTGGTTTGGATCAATTTTTTCTGAATGAGTAAAAAAATAATTTTTTCTGACATGTTTAATTTTCTCTGTGATGCTTAATTTTCTCTGGATTTTTCTGGTTTAAAATTTCTCTAGAAAAGAAGAAAGAACTATAATTTTCTCTGGTTTGATCAATTTTCTCTAGTTGAGTCAAAACACAATTTGATGAATGTCGTTTGCTTATCTGCTACTTGCTTTCTTCTTTGCTGGTTGAATAGGGTTGAGCTTCACATTTTGCATATAATGTTCAATACGTTTTTGCGAGATTATTGAGTGAAAATTATATCAATCAGTTCTGCGATTGGATATAAGGGCTTGTTTTGAAGCTGACTTTATAGAACATACTGCACTCAGAAAAAATGAGGTTGAAGCAAAATCAAAATGCTTTGTTCTTTGTGGAATTCCATTACCCACCTAGAACATAGTCTTCCCCTTCTTTTGACAGGGAAGGTTAGAGAAATTTTCCAAATTTCTCTGGAAAGTCCAGAGAATTTCTCTGGATTAATTTTCTCTGTGACGTGAAATTTCTTTGGATTAATTTTCTCTGGATCAATTTTCTCTGGATCAACTTGAGGGACCTAAGACATTATGAAAATATTAGATGTCCTTTGTGTTATGAAATCTTAATACGAGGGACCTTAAAAAAAAAACCCTTTAAATATTGACGATCAACCTGAAACACTTTTATATATTGGATTGGGGACCGAATTGACATAATTTAAACATTAAAGACCAAAATGATATAAAGCTCATACTTTGGGGACTAAAATATAATTTACTCATAAAATTATGATACCTACTACAAAGATCTTTCATAAAATATTCTGTTTGAATAATGTAGAAAGTGGGAAAAAATATAACTTTAAAGATCAAAGTGAAAAAGTAGCCAAGCTTAAAAAGGGGGCAAGGTATAATTTACCCATAAAGAAAACTCTCACTAAAAATCTTATTAAAAGTACAAAAAATTAAATAGATTTGATTGTGAAAAATATAGAAACGCTTGGACATTTAATGATATTTGAAGCCGTATATTTCATTCGTTGTGTTTGGTTGGGGATTTGGAGATTTGGAAAGGTAAAAGGTGTTAAAATTAGGTAAAATATAAGTATATTTTATTTACATTTCACCTACATTTTCTCTTTTTTTTTCAAATCTCTTCCTAAATCCCCCAAACAAATAGAGCGTAATAGTTTTAGTAAGAGTTTTCTTTATTTTTCTATCTTTCGCTTTCTCAATCCACCTATAATAGTTTATTCTTCTATAATTTTATAAAATTCTACCTCAAGCTTCACCCAATTATTGATTCAAATCAAATTTTGACTGAAAAATAACTTACTACACATGAGCAAATCATTGAACCATTACAACATGGACGTGAGAATAACACAAAAATACAAACAACCTCATGTTTATTCAAATTTTAATTGAAATATTTAACACACTAAACCCTACCCATTTTTCCTTACTAGAGTATTTTTTCCAAAGTAAGGTGAATTTTACCCTTTGTAATTTGATCTATGTGTAATTATCCTCTATGGTTTGTGGATTGAACAGTGAAATACGTTCTTAGACATAAGAGAATTACATGCTCATTTGTCAGGAGGTAAATTTCACATGGGGCAACACATAATTATCTACTATGATGAAAATATAAGTAATTTGCACAATGAGACTATTCAACATCATTATGTACAATGGATACAATCTGATGCTCGTGAAAAAAAAAAAACTTCAAGATGAAACCTGAGCTTAGAATACTTCACTGCACATGACATGCTCTTTGGTAAAGGAGTGAACTACGTAGCTGCTTTCCTTGTTCCCCAATTTTTGTATCATCCTTACAAACCACACAAAGTGTATTGTTGTCATCCACAAACACCAATCGAAGATTTTCAGCACCAATTTCTGAAGTAGGTAGCCTTCCCACCAAGGCATTTTCATTCTCCGTGCAAATTGCTCAAACAAAACCTTCCGTACTCTGCTCTGTGAGTGTAAATACTCATATTCATACAGATACCAGATAAAAGGCATTATATGAGAACGAGAATGAGTAGCAAGGAGACAGCATAAACAGACCAGTTGGTGCACGTGAGGACTGCTGTTGTAGGGAATTATATAGCAATGCAAAATGCTGTGGCAGCAAAGAAGATAGCAAGTCACTATAAAGCTTGGCTGTGATAGGTAACTCACTACAAAGACGGAGGCAAAGGCTAGTGAGAATGCAAGAAAAAAAAAATTGGAGGAAGTTAAGAGTACTCAGGTTTGAATAAATTGGATGGCTATTTTGACAGATGAAGTTAAGCAAAATGCTATCATTAACTTAGGCCAATTGAGATGTTGTTGAGCAACGACCAAAGAAATTGGTTGGCACTGCTGCTCCATCACTACAGTCTTTAGGGTTTATGCAGCAGAAGGTGTAGTGGGAAAGCTAGGGAAGAATATTTGAGACAGAGCAACCAAAAAAGAAAAAGAAAAAGCAAAAAGAAGAGTAGAAAAATTACCTTCTGGGACTCCAAATGGGTGTTCTGGATCTGGAGTAGCTTATGGACAGTTCTCCAGTATGTAGGGGTCACTTGTGCAACTGGGGAGTGCTCCACATTATTCTTGAGTGACTACTTTAGAGAAACTTCAACTTTTGTCACTTTAGAAACAAAACAGAATGTAACGAAATAGGACAACATCAACAGCATATAATAAACTTCAACGTCACAGCTGAATTTCATTAGAACATCCATAATCAACGTCTTGGTTCATCAAACCTTGTTCCCTCTAAGATGATGATTTATTCATGTGCCGTTTCAGTACCTTGGCAGCTCTTAATTGTTCAAGAATCACATTTCTACCATAGAAAAGAAATTTTTAATTAACAAAGTTAAAATCCCTCATCTTGTTGGACAATACAGGTTTGTAGGAAAGACTTGGATGTGAAACAAAAGTAAGAGGATGTCAACTTCGGGTACAAATCAATTGAGAAGAGTTGTTTGGTCCAGAAAATCCCTATTCACAAGTCCAAGACAAACATCCCTTGTACAGTAATAAGTTTATACAAGTATATTTCAAATTACCAAGTTGTCCTGCCAAATGAAATTTTCCATTCTTCGCCCCTAATTGTTGATGCTAATATAAAAAATATCCACGGTACATATCAGCGGTTCACCCTGAACTGTTAATGTTAACATAAAAAATACCCAAGCTACATAATAGCAGCTGATCAGAGGATGACTGGATCTTCACTAGCAAACAATCTCCTTTAGCCATCAATACGCCTTAATTAGTTGAAGAATTTATGTTAGAAAAGCCAACTAACCTCGCATTGCCTACAACAGAAAACATTATTGTCATGTAAGATTGATGATCCACCATTTAACCAATAGAAAAATGCATTGCCACAGTCCAACCATCCTCAAGCTGATTCGAAATAAAAATTAGCATATGCTTGCTTCAGCTGCTTAGAATTCTCTATGTAACAAATTTTCCAGTAATCTTAATTGTTCATAACAGCAATGAAACTAATATAGAACCCAACAGACTTACACTAAAAACAAGGCTTCTTAACAAGTTAAATAGAATATTATTGTCATGTAAGATTGATGATCCACCATTTTTTTTCTTTTTTTATGGGAGATGATCGGCCATTTAACCAATAAAAAATGCATTGCCACAGTCCAACCATCCTCAAGCTGACTTGAAATAAAAATTAGCATCTGCTAGCTTCAGCAGGTCAGAACTCTCTATGTTGAGAGTAACAGATTTTCCAGTAATCTTAATTGTTCATATCAGCGATGAAACTGACATTGAACCCAACAGAGTTACACTAAAAAAAGGCTTTTTAACAAGTTAAAGCACAGAAAGCAGTAAAATCGATGGTAATAAGCCTCTAAACAAGAAAAATGAAGTCCCTAGCTAGTGGCATATCAGCATATAGTAATTGAATCTGAATTGGAATATTTTATTCATCATATTAGCATAGGTTGAAGGATCTACCCTTTTTTTTTTTTTGTAAGTTCAAGGATCTGCCATTGAAAGTGTTTCATTTATCAACATCCTGCAACTGGAAATTTGAATTCATTTATATAATAACTGGATAATGTATGGATAAAATCACTCACATGCTAGACAAAATTAGGATGTGAGAACTGTCTGAGTAGATATTACAGCTTCACTGCCATGCAAGTGTTCTATGAAGAAAGTCAAATTTATGTTGTTAGTTAGCCTTGTCAGCCACTATGCATAATCCTAGTGAATTGCATATTAGTTTATAGATTACTCCAGTACTTCAAAATAAACAGTTCAATGTTTTTACAATATTTGCATAACTTTAACGGAAAATATCAGCATCCAGCCATGCAAACTGAGATTCAAGTAGCTTGGGTTACCAAATGAAAAATGACATGTTATTCCAATGAACAAAAACACTATGAGATGCATCCATATTTTTTATAATTCAGTTAGAAATAGATGATGTTGCACAATGGAAGAAATGCTCTGCAAATTTACAAGAAAACTAAATACAACTAACACATTGTAAATCAATATAATCAAAAAGCATTGTTATGCAAATTTGAAGCATATATTTGAAACAATTAACTAGTGAATAAAAGTTCAAGAAGCATACATACAAATGCAAAGCAGAAAACACAAACTTCAAGAACAGGACATGTAATGTGTACCTGTTATTCTATTTCATTATTCTTTGCTTATTTCCAATCCCTTCAAAGAGCAAAATGCAATCAACTTCAGTACCAAATTATAGCAGTTGCAAATGGTTGACATTAATGATTATCAACAACTAATATTTTAGTTCAA